TGCTTTGCCTCACTACTAAAACAACAAAACAAAACAAAAAGACATACCAAAAGAAAAGGGTTAGAACTTGTATAAAATTCTTTCCCAACTCAATCCCATCCTGACAAAACACTGAACACAAATACTGTGTTCACCAGTTACTAGAATTGGTTCTATCATTTTTTTTTCTTTGCTATAACTATGGTATTCATTTGAAATACAATTAGATTCATTTGCTTCAGTATGCTTGCAGTTTTAGGTTTATTTTCCCCTTTCCATCTTAATTTTTAATATATTTTTGAATGAGTAGAATATTAATGTGTACACAAAAGTAAATATTACATGAAAAGGTATTCTTAAAGAGGTGTCATTCTTTCCTGTACCCTAACATGCATGTTTAACTGTGTTGTAGGTAATCAATTTCATCGTTGTGTAGTTTATCCCTCCTTTGATTTCTTTTACAAAAATAAGTAAGTATATTTGTAATTTTTCTTATCCATAAAAGATACAGAAAGAAGTGACACCTCTCTAAGAATACCCTTTCAGGACCGGTGCAGAGACTCACAGCTGTAATCTCAGCACTTTGGGAGGCTGAGGCAGGCAGATCATCTGAGGTAGGGGGTTAGAGACTAGCCTGGCCAACATGGTGAAACCATATTTCAACTAAAAATACAAAGTTAGCTGGGCATGGTAGTGTGCACTTGTAATCCCAGCTACTCAGGAGGCTGAGGCAGGAGAATCATTTGAACCCAGGAGGTGGAGGTTGTAGTGAGCCGAGATTGTGCCCCTGAACTCCAGCCTGGGTAACAGAGCAGGACTCCAAAAACAAAGAATACTGTTTCATGTAATTTTTACTTCTTACTTCTAGGTATATGTTAATATTCTGCTTCTTTTCCAGGAGGAGCAATTTGTCTAATGATGCTCATTATCCAATTCCTTTAGTAATGGCTTATTGTTAAATGTTTAGGTTCTGGAGTTGTGTTTTTATTGGGGGAATGTCCTCTGTCAGAGTCTTATTCCATAATTTCTTAGAGGCTAGAAATTCTATGACAGTATAGATTTAACTGGCATTTCTTTTATTATGAGAGAAAGAGATTATTTTCATTTGTTTAAGTCACATTTTTATAGCTTTTTTGGTGCATTATCTGTTCAAGTCTTTTGCCTATTTATCTATATAATTTTACTTTCAACTATTAAAACTTCGATTGGTTATTATTTGTGTATATGCATGCAATTTAGTTTTGCATATTAATTTTATATCTTGCTTATCAACTTACCGATTTACTTTTATCTCTCTAGGGTACTCCAGATTACTACTATATCATCTGCAAAAAGAAACTGTTTTATCTCTTCTTCTCCAAGTCACATGCCTCTAATTGTTTTTCTGGTCTAACTATATCTTTTTATGCTATTTTTATTAAGTTTATACATCAACACTATACTTGTTTCATGAAAATAATTTGAAAATTTTCTTTCATGTTTTACACTCTGAAGCAATTTATATAGTTTTGAGACTGTCAAAGGTTTCGTTAAATTTCTCTGTAAAACCATCCGGTCTGGCTTTTTTATGTAACATAGATTCTTGATAACTTACTTTCTCTCTTCTACAGAAAATGGCCTTTTAGATTCTCTATCTTTACTCTGGTCAGTTTTGGCAAACTATATTTTTTGAAAAACTTTTTAAAAAATAGGTGAATTGGGCTGGGCGGGGTGGCTCACGCCTGTAATCCCAGCACTTTGGGAGGCCGAGGCCGGCGGATCATGAGGTCAAGAGATTGAGACCATCCTGGCCAACATGGTAAAACCCTGTCTCTACTAAAAATACAAAAATTAGCCGGGTGTGGTGGCGCACGCCTTTGGTCCCAGCTACTCAGGAGGCAGAGGCAGGAGAATCGCTTGAACCCAGGAGGCAGAGGTTGCGGTGAGCCGAGATTGCCTCACTGCACTCCAGCCTGGTGACAGAGCAAGACTCCGTCCCAAAAAAAAAAAATAGGTGAGTTGATCTTATTCATGTAAATTAAGATAACCATTATGTTTGGTCACTCTATCAAATTGTCTTATGATGAAATTATTGTGTATATTTACTACATTTTTATTTATTTTGTATATCCTTTTTACTTAAACAGTTCTTTTTGTCATTTATAAAGGTTTGGATTTTCATTCTGGGTTACCTTTGCATTATTAATTTTTAAGTGCTTGCTATCTCCTCTATTTTTTACCTGATATCAGTTTTAAGCAATATTTGTTGATGGCTACTCTTTGCTTATGTAACAAAATGATGTATTCTGTTTTCTTCTTTCTTTTTCTCCCATTAAAAAATTTTTCACCTTTTGACTTTTGTTAACACGTGTAATGTTGACATATTATTCTTTCATCCATGCACTGACTTATTTTAGTCTCACCTGTGCAATAAAATAAATTAAGTTCTCACTGTTTGGAAACATTTTCCAAAGTTACTTCCATCATTTTTTAGTTGGATAAAACTCATCCTATATGAGGGTCTTCAGGAATACCATGTGTGTAGTATTACTTTAGTACTGGCATAGTCCAAACTGTTTTCTATAGCCTTGATATTTTAAAGCTAGGTTGGCTGCATACAACATTTTTGTATACTTTCTTTCTTTCCTTTAGTGTCTTGAAAATATTGTTCCACTATTGCCTTACTTTGCATGTTGTTTTGAGAAACCTGATGCTAGTCTAATTCTATTGCCTTCCTAAGTTACTTGATCTTTTTACTTGGACGCAGTGTGAATTTTTTCCCCCTCTATCTTTAAAGTCTAACAATTTTACTAGAATATATTCTAGAGTTAATTTTTCCAGGTCAGATTTCCCCTGTACCTGATATTAGATTCAGGTCTTACTTTAATTCTAGAAAGTTTTCTTGGATTATAGTTCTAAGTATTAGTGCCGTTGAATTATTTTTACTGGCTTTTGTGTCTCGATTTCATTTTCACTTTCCTAGTTGTTTATCTTGTTTTCTTCACTGTCTTTTCACTTGATTATATTCTTCCTGGGGCAATTTGTAATTTAGTTTTCATTGCTGATATGATTTTGTCTCTTCTTTCTTTGCTAAGTTTTATCAACTCTCATTTCACTTTTTCCTGAGTTGTTGTTTTGTTTTGTTTTTGTCAATATTTACTATTATTATTTTTTAAGTTTCTGATTTGAAGTGTCTTTTTCTTAGCCCCAAATGCTTATTTGAGGATATCCTCTTGAGCATGGAGTATAACATTACAGTTTTCTTAAGCTTTGTGGTTAAATTGTTTTGGAAAGTTTTCATTAGGAGGAAAACTTACATAGATATCATCTAATTTTTTTCAGTTGTTTTATAATGATGGAGATAGAATTTTTGTTCTAATCTTTTTTATTTCATAGAAATATTCTTAGTTCAAGAGCACCCTCTTCTGTGCAGTTTCTTTTATGGATCTTGTTGTTGATGGTGATAGGGTAGGGTGGGTGGATGAGTAAGTTGTGTTCCGATTTCATTTCTATTAATTTCTATTAATTTTCCCCTCTTATTTCCTTCTTTCCCGTCATTGCCTAGTCTCCAAGGAATTCTATCCATTCTCTATTTATCTGATTATTCTCCAGAAGCAATGGTTCTTCAAGGCTGCCATTTCTGATTACATACATACCTTGAAGTCTTCTTCTATTTTTTTTAATTTTTTTTTTTTTTTTTTTTGTAGCTAGTGCTAAGAACCACTAAGTCCTGACCTATGTTCAGTATTCTGTCATTTATTGTTACATTTTCTCTTTCTGGGGGTGATTTTGTTTGTTTTTCATCTAATTCATTGCTTCTCCCTACTCTTTATTTCAGAGTCTTTCAAGCCTTGCCTCCTCTGTTCTTTCTATCCCAGGTTTCAGTACAGACAAGCTGCAGGAGGGTTGTTGGAATTACTACTTTTCTTACTTTATTTATATGTACTTTAAAGACTGTGGTGTTTTCTGTCACAATCATATTGAAAATATGAGTCCTGTATGGTTCTACTTGATTTCTTTGTTGATTTTTATGCTTTCTAAGGGGAGTGTGTGAAGGCGATTCAAAGTCAGGTGATCACTGCTCATCTTGAACAATGTTCTCCTGTTTATATTTTACTTGTCATTTGGGTTTTCATTTTATGATATTGTCATATATTTGTTTTATAGTAGGCTATTTCAAATTCTTTGAACAATAATGCAAAGTAAAATAAATATTTGCTTTTTATTACTAACAAATAAATGTTAAAAATACTCTTGCCTTAAAGGCTTATTTATTCATTACACTTTAAGTTCTGGGGTACATGCGCTGATCGTGCAGGTTTGTTACATAGGTATACATGTGCCATGGTAGTGGTTTGCTGCATCCATCACCCCGTCATCTACATTAGGTATTTCTCCTAATGCTATCCCTCTCCAATCCCTTCACCCCCTGCTATTCTCCCCTAGACACATGCACATGTATGTTTATTGCAGCACTGTTCACAATAGCAAAGACTTGGAACCAACCCAAATGCGCATCAATGATAGACTGGATAAAGAAAATGTGGCACATATACACCACTATGGAATACTATGTAGCCATAAAAAATATTAGTTCATGTCCTTTGTAGGGACATGGATGAAACTGGAAACCATCATTCTCAGCAAACTGATACAAGAACTTCAAGGCTTTTTGTTCTTTAGTAAAATAAAGCACAGGTAACAAAGAAAAAAAGAAAGGGAAAAGAGGGGAATTGAAAGAAAAGAAAAAATAATGGAAAAGTAAGGAGATTGGTTATTTTGGCCTCTGGATATATTGTTTTCAAAACAATTTCAAAGAGGTTTTAACATTTTTTTTGAGCAACAGTAGCAAAACTTTATCACAGGTACAGCCTCCAAAAGTGATTGCTTTTAAGATCTATGCTATTCTGTATTATATAATTTGTATCAAGAAGCTCTGGGATACTATAAAGAGCAACTGCTTTATAATTTCACCTCATATATTCACATGTATACACACCTACACACACACGAGCACACATTTACACAATACATATACTTACTTGTTTCACATTATAGAGCTCCTCTGTCAATCGTTTCCTTTGCTTATCTGATTGCAATAATTTTTCCTATATTTAAAAACCATCAAATTAACAACTTGTTATGAAAGTATCAATAAGTATGACTTTTTAGTCCCTTGTTTCAAAGCTTATATTCCCAAACATCAAATTGGTACAATCTGAAAATTTTGCTCCTAGTCATTTTTTGGGCTTTACATGAGGTACTTAAAAGTAATTATTTACAGTACATTGTGATGTAAATATACTTTTTTATTACCTTAATTTTGCAAAATGTCAAAATATAAGCTCAAAAAGAAACCAGTTAAGAATACAAGGCTGGGCATGGTGGCTCACGTCTGTAATCCCAGCATTTGGGAAGCAGAGGCGGGAGGATCACCTGAGGTCGGGAATTCGAGACCAGCCTGACTAACATGGAGAAACCCCATCTCTACTAAAATGACAAAATTAGCTGGATGTGGTGGCAAATGCCTGTAATGCCAGTTACTTGGGAGGCTGAGACATGAAAATCCCTTGAACCTGGGTGGCAGAGATTGCAGTGAACCAAGATTATGCCATTGCACTCCAGCCTGGGCAACAAGAGTGAAACTCTGTCTCCAAAAAAAAACAAAAAACAAAAAAAAAACCCAAAAAACAAATGTGTAAATATTAACTGAATTTTGGTCAAGCTATCATTGCCAAAGGATACAAATTGAAGAGCATAATTGTTACAAATTAGAATTAAAGGTCTTCGACCATATAAAGGGCATATGATGAGACTGGTTCACCTCTTGGTTTTGTAATTTAACTTTAGATTACTCTTGCAACAAAATTAAATTATAAATGAAATTTAAATTGTGAAACCAAGATAATTTTGTTAAATTATCTTATACATGAAAAGGAAGATATGACTCATGTAACCAAAATATAAAATAATAGTTATGAAGATTAATGTGATGCATATAAAAAAAATCTTTGGATTTGAAATTAAGTCAAGCATTGTAATATTCAATTTTGTTAAGTATGTCTTAAATAAATTCATATTTTGTTGGTCAAAATAGAAATACCAAGCGTGATTTAAGAGGCATTAAATACAAACCTGAACAGAGAAACTGCTAGAACATTAAACTGGTTGGTAAAGATTCATAGCAATATTGCAATGTTTATAAGAAGCAATATCCTTTCTGGTATATTTCAGTTTATTCTTGTCTAAGAGGTGAAATGAAGGTATATGAAGATGAATATAATATAGCAATCTAATGAATATGCCACAGACCAGGAGCCAAGAGACTGCTGGCTCCCGTGATTTTATGTTCTGGCAAGTCACCTTCACTCTTTGTGCCCTAGTTTTTTTGTATCTGTTAATGGAAAATATATCTATTTTCTATCCACCTTCGCAAAGCAGTAGCAATGTGAATTTTGCAGAAAAGCTTCCTTAAATAAAGCCCATAGCACTTTTAAAAATAATTCTTGCAAAATAAAAATTAGCCATTGACATAAAATTATCTTGGTTTCACTTTTATTTGTACCTCATATCAGACATGAAGAATAGAGATGTTACACGATAATAAAAAGGATGAGACACCATTTACACACTTTATGAATGTCATTTAACGACTTCTGCTTTTTTTGTGACTGTATAATACAAGTAAAAAAACTGAAAATAAAAACATTACCTTGAACAAAAGTATTTATTGCTTTTATACTACTTTATATAGCTTCTTTAATTGGTTAGCCTATACATAGGTTTGGAGGTAAAGGTAATTATAAAATATGAAATTTGTTTTATCTGGAATTTTTGTACCATATTCTAACTGACTGAGCTAGATGGTTGCTGGCTTATCTGGGAGTTTAGGTTTTGTCATAGTAGGGTATATTCAGTTACATTTCATGAACTTCAAATGTGAATCCTGATTTATTGAATGACTCCTCAGGGAAGTCTTGTTTAAATGTTAAATTAATATGGCATATATATGTTCAAATTAACATTCTAATTATTACTATTGATATTAAAATAAAACTGAAATATGTCATTAAATTTAACAATGATAAACTATAAGGAAATGAAAAAGATCTGAGAGCCTCTGAACATTCTGATAAACCACAAGTCTAATGGTTTAGGTAGAAATAAGACAATACATAAAAAAGTTATCTTATTAAAGTAACCAACATTGGGAAAGTTTCCTAAGGGAATATAAAGAAACCATTGTCAATGTATTTTTAAAACTAAATGTATAGTTTCCATCTAAACACTTAACTGTTGCACTAAAAAACTGTGGAAAGATAGTGGTTTCAAAGGTAAAAAAATAAATATATGGAATACTCATAGTAGTGAAATGCTCGTATATTTTAGGAAGGAATGTGAATTGGCAAAACCTTTTGAAAGGGAATTTGGTAACATACACAAAATTTTACGTGTCTGTATCTTCTAATAAAGCAATTCCATTTTCAGACATTTATTCTGTGTATATACTTGTACAAATGCCCAAACATATATCTACAAAGCTGTTGAAGATAAAATTATTTTTAAAAACTACAAATAGTCTAATGTTCATCAATAAGAAACTGGCTAAATGATCATGTGATGTATAGGAGAGTTATCCAGAAGAATTTGATAGATCTGTGTATATTAACCTGAAAAGCTGCCAGAGATAGAATTCTTATAAAGAGAGAGAGAGAAAAAAAAAGGCATGTTGTAAAAAAAAAAGTGTGGCTGGATGAGGTGATTTATGTAGAAGTGAAAATACGCACATATTGGAAAAAAAAGTTTTAAGACTTTATCATTTTTTTGGAGCAGTTTTGGGTTCATAGCAAAATTGAGAGGAAAGTACAGAAATTTCTCAAATATTCCCTGCCCGCACATACACATATATTTACTTATTTATTTTTGTTTTTATTTTTTAAATAGTAGAGATGGGGTCCTGCTATGTTGCTCAGGCTGATGTTAAACTCCTGAGCTCAAGTAATCTTGCCTCAGCCTCCCAAAGTGCTGAGATTACACATGTGAGCCACCATGCCTTGTCTATTTAAAATAATATAATTTTCCATGTAGAAAAAAAGTTATGAAAAGAAAAATAATATTAGTTGCAATAATGCCTTCCTCTAGAGGTTGGAATTGTAAAAACTAAGGTAGCAAAAAATTTTTCTTTCTTTCTGGTGTAAAGATTTTCTATTTAATAAAAATTAGATAATTATCAATATAATATATCTTATTTAATAAAATAATTTAAAAAATACATTCCTATGGTGAATTCATGGTAAATCAATTAGTTATGTTGCTTTCCTGAAGATCTGGAAAATACAGCTTTCTATAAAAATTAGGATATAATTTAAATGTAATATTCTTCTAAAAACAGAATGAAACCATATAAAGAGAATCAAGGCCAGACATGGTGGCTCACACCTGTAATCCCAGCACTTTGAGAGACTGAGGCAGGAGGGTCATTTGAATCCAGGTATTTGAGACCAACCTGAACATCACAGTGAGACTCCATCCCTACAAAATAAAAATTAAAAAAAAAAAAAATTAGCTGAGTATGGTGACATAGGCATGTTGTCCCAGCTATTTGGGAGGTTGAGGTGGGAGAACTGCTTGAACCCAGGAGGCTGAAGCTACAGTGAGATGTGATTGCAGCACTGCACCCCAGACTAGGTGACAGAGTAAGACCCTGTCTCAAAAACAAACAACAAAAAAAACAAGAATCAAAAAATCAACCAAAAAAAGATAAGTAAAATGTTATAATATATTTGGGATATGTGTTTTTTCTTCTCTTAAATAATATTGTCTTTATTCCAAATTACGTTAGCAAAACATCATGTCCCTTAATGGGCCTGCATGTGAAAAAAAAAAAACGTATTTCCCAATGAACTCCCAGGATCCAAATTTGTCATGACTTGCTTTATTGGCCCTTCATCTAATTCTGCCCTGGCCACCAATGAGAGAGAATAAAAAGGCCAAGAAGGAACCTTAACAGAAGACATGAGCAGAAACCATTGTTCACACTAAATGTTATACGGATATTGTGAAATACAAACATGTAACCCACAAACTAATTTCTCTAAAGGACAACTGAATAAAGAATCTGATTCTTACTATTTGACATTAATATTTTTCCACTAAAAATAAAATTAAGCCCCAATACTTCAGAATTCAATACAGAATATTTTTCTTTTTCTTTTTTTTCTGAAGAAAAGCTAAGGAAACTAAATTAGAGGTTACCTTAAGTGTATTCACTTCTTTCAAGGCATCATCCCTTTCACGCTTGAGCCTTTGCATTTCATCTGCTTCTAAAGAATCACAAGGAAGAAGCTGTCAACATTAAAATATAAGAGAAAAGTTGTGCATTAGATGCTAATTATGAGAGCTAACATAAAAATCCTAACTAGTCTTAGGCTTTGCACTATAATAACAAAATTCAGTTTCTTACTTTGGAGTCATATGATTAGATAAAAGGGAATATTACAGTAACCTGGGGCAATTTCATTCATTTAAGCTTAACCTTACATTGCTATTCAAAACAGAATTTCGATTTTGTTGTTGCCTTTATCATTATTTCAACAGTATAATTTTCCTGAGAATTCCAAATTCCAAGACTGTGTTTATTGTCAAAAAGACTTCAGGAATTACCAACAAAAACTATTGCTCGCATTCATTCTAACAGCATAGTATCTAAGGCTAACAAAATGCTGTACGTTATAAAATCAGATGGTTTACATGAGCCTAGTAAAGTATATTTATTAATTATGTATCTGGTTTTAAGTTAATGAAATGTAATGCAACAGATGCGTGGCTCAAAAAGATTCCTGTGCAGAAATTATAGATTGAAGATAATATAATTATACAAAAGTGAATAACAACAAAAATGCAGAGATGACCATTTCTCTACATCGAGCATGATCTCTTTGACAGTTAATTACAATGTAAAAAATAATGACAGTCTAATCAGAGATAAAATCCAGGTTTAACTATAGCCATCTCCTATGTGGAAGCTATAACAATTAAAGAAAATATAATTTAAAGGATTAAGTGGAGAAATCAGTTGTTATTTAAGCATGGGCTTAGAACAGAGCCCTTTAGATAGGTGGGGCAAGTGTGGAGTAGAAAAAAAATAATAAAATTAATTAATAATATCAATGACTTATTGGAAACTTATGTGCAGATGCATTGCTAAGGACTCTATATTTTCAGTATGAATCACCTTGTCTCCATTTTATAGATGAAGAAACAAGCCCAGAAAGGTTAATAACTTGCCTAAGGTTTCACAGCTAACAAATGGCCAATCCAAGAGTCCCACAAATCATAGTATCTGAGTTTTTCCTAATGATTCAACAAAAAACATGGTGGAATGGATATATCAAACTCATATTTGCTTTCCAAACTCTAGAATAACAGAGTAGGAGTTATTCTTCACATTTGTGGAGAACTTATTTCTCTGAACATCACTGGTTCTTTTTGCTCTGTCACATTAGCTTTTGGATATCTATGGACATTGCCCATGATTTATATGATCTACTGTCTTCATGTCTCTGTTACTCTGTTCTCTCAGAAGTACTCAACACACACACTCATAAGAATTCATTCCTGTATTGTTAGATTAATTTAGAACACATTTTAAAATGTAATAATATTTCCCAAGTGTGTTCCAAAGGATATTAACAGGCTTTGTGTAAAAGCAAAATTGAGTAGCGGTGCTGGTGATAGTGGTATACGAGTTTTAAAAAATTAACCTTATTTCCTGCATGGCTTCCAACAGCCTTAATATGCTAGTGAGTATTTGAATTTCCAAAAAAAAAAAGTATAACAACTTGTCATGTTTCCTCAGTAATTTCACCATACTCTAAACCCCCAACCTCGTCACCCTGCTGCCTTCATTTAATTTTTGTACTAGCTCATGGAACTAAAGTATACAAAGCACAATCTGGGAAACTCTATGTTGCTACTCAACATTCACATGGGCCTATTCTATCTTCTCATCCTAAGAAGTGAAGTAAGGAGGACTCAAAGTTTAAATAAGGCCGGATGCAGTGACTCAAGTCTATAATCCCAGTATGTTGGGAGGTCGAGGCTTGAGGATTGCTTGAGTCCAGGAGGTTGAGATCAGCCTTGGCAACAAAATAAGACCTTGTCTCTACAAAAAATAAAATTAGCCAGGCATGGCAGTGCATTCCTGTAGTTCCAGCTATTTGGGAAACTGAAGTGGGTGGGAGGTCAAGCCTCCAGTGAGCTGAGATTGCACTGCTGCAGTCAGCCAAGTCTGCACTACTGCATTCCAGCCTGGTGACAGGGTGAGACCATGTCTAAATAAAAAAAAAAAAAAAAAAAAAAAAAAAGGAAAAGAAAGTTTAAATAAAATTTTAAGATACCAAGTTAAAATAATTTATTAAGAGAAATTATGGATTGGGATTTTAGGGATGTGATAATAAACTTTGGAGCTTAAGATCATGGAGATAAATCATGCATAAAAGAATCCATGGTACTATTTTGAGAGGCAAAGCCTAGACTATTAGAACAGACCATGACTTAAAAAAAATGTTTCATAATCCCACTGCTATTTTGGACTATGCAGCAAAAACTTGTAGCCAGAGAATTGGCCATGGATGTTCCTTTTGAATTCTTTGAAAAGCCCTTTTGTACTCAATGACTTTTTTATATAGTTCTATTCAAATATACTTCATCTAAGAAAGCAGCAAATTAATTGTTATTTCACAGCAACAATTCAGACAGATTTCTGTTTCCAAAATCTACCGCTAACTACTGCAATTTACATTCCTTAACCTTCTATACCTGTTTCCTGTCTGGTTCTCACAATATCATTTGTGATCCTTGGATCCCTTGAACTTTGCAACAGCTGGTAAGTAACATTGTAAATCATTTCTACTTGGCTTTCTAGAATATCCTTTTGGAGATGTCAAGAATACATATAGGTCATTGGACTGTGCTGATTAGGTCTGACCTAATCAGACCTCTCCCTTCATTGCTGCTCCATCATATTTTAAGTTACTTGACTTTTATCAATTCTGGATAGCTATTATTCCACTGGCTACATTCCCTAATCTCAACTCATCTTAAACAGAAGCAGTTGCAAAACAGTAACTTCAGTGTCAGTCTAATTTTATTGATAAGGCCTTTTTTAAAAGACCTATTCAATTACCCCCTTTCTTTATAAAATTGTGTGACTTTATCATCCTATTCACCTAAAAATTTCTGGGTGTCTTTTTTTCTCCTTCCATTTCCCTGCTCATTCCTTTCACTTCTTATAATCTGGCTTATACCTCTTTCCTCTCATTCCTATATTTCTAAAATGATTACTTACAATTTCACTAATAAAACTGCTAAGTGACAAAGAAAATGTCCCCCTCCCCAACCAACTTTCTTCTTTGTTATATATAACATTGTTGAAGGCTTTTTTTCCTTGAAATTTTATCTTCTTAAAAAAAAAATTATCTTCTTTAGATTGTGATATCCTAATATCTCACCTACCCTTCTGGACATTTAGGCTACTTCCAATGAGTTGGTTTCATCTCTACTCCTTAGAAGGAGAAAGGGGGGTTGAGAGGTTCCCCAAAGTCTGTCCCTTTCCTCCTTTTTCTCTACAAGTTCCGAGTGATAACATTCACTATCATGCCTCAACTATCACTCTTAAAACATTTGCAAATTCCTTCCTGGTGTCCAGTTCCTAATTTCCAGTGGCCTTTGCTTATTTGTACTTGCCGGCTTCTTAAACTAACTCTCTAAAATACAATCTGTCATTGTCTCTACATTGAAAAGGGCTTTCTTCTTATTTCCCTATTTATATTAATGCTACCTGTTATATTCTTAGTCATCCTAGTCAAAACTTGGGAGTTAACTATCACTTTCTTTTCTGTTCTCCCCTTCTTCACTATACTTTAGTTCTTCATCATCCTATATTTGGATTATTTATATAATTCTCTATCTAGATTACCTACCACCACTTTCATTCCCTTCCCATGTAACCAACACATAAGATTCCTCTTTCTAAAATATCACTTTTATCATTTAACTGTTTTCCTTAACGGCTCCTCACTGAATACTAAGTACAAACTTCTAAATTTAATATTTACTGTTTAAGGCATAACTTCTGTCACCTGAATGAACCCAATTATCTTTTTCAAAGTAGACTACTCTGTGTATGTATTACATTCTCAATTTTTGTTTATGCAAATACTTTGATCACTCCCTATTTATCTCTTGAGCACATAAAATCCTATTTATCCCTCAAAATTTACTCAAATGCCAACTCTGTTATGAACCTTCTCTGAATGTTCTAAGCTTTATTACTCTTATAGCCTTGCCACACAATGCAGCTCTTCTTACTATAATTATTTGGGCACACAAGTTTTCATTAAAATATGTAGGCCAAGTTTTATCTATCTTAATAACGTGCACATAACAAAACATGCACACTGCAGTTGTTCAATATATATTTGGTGTTTTTGTTAGGGAAGTGGTTATAAAGTATTTACTACTATACATGGTGAGAAATATGATACATATTGTGAACCAATATAAGTGAAACATTACGCAGTCTTATCATAGACAAATCACTTTGATATTTTCCATTATGTTGTATTTTACTTGTTTAAAATGGTAGTAGCAGTCCACTAAATTGACTTAACAAGAGCTCAAACTGTGAAAAATCTATTTTAGGGAATTCAGTGTTCTCTCTATAATTGTAAGATAATCCATTCATGATACAGTACTTGATTGGTCTGGTCAAATCATATTGTGATGGACTATATTCTGCTATTGCTAAGTTTAGAGTACTGCTAACTGTGGCTCCAGCCTTGCCCTTTCTGCATATAACCTTGTGCCAGCAGCAGGTGTAGCACTGTGTGAATTTTCTAATGTAGCAATGATGATTAGACGCACAGTAAGATAATTATATTTTTGGTTCTAAATGTCATATTCTTCCAAACTCAAAAGTTGTCCAACAAACAAAGTAGGACTGACTTATACTGACTCAGCATTCCCACTTAAAAGATAGCATCTCAAGAGATACTATGAGTCAGACAAAATAATGATCAAAAGTAGCAAGTTACAAAAGAGTATATATTCTATAATTCTATTTATCAGGAAATTCAATAAAAGGCAAAAATAATCTATGTTGTTTTAAGTCAAAATGCTGGTTCCGACATAAAGTTGAGAGTGGCGGCTGCCTGGGAAGGTGACAGGAGGGGGCCTTTTGAGTGGTGATTACATGTTAGATATATAATAAAAATTCATCAAATTGTATACTTTAGATTTTTGTACTTTATTTTGTATCCATTAGATTTCAGTAATATTTTTAAAAAAGAAATTTAAAAAGAGAAGCCATCTTTATCAGCCAAAAAAAGAAAACATATGATTAAAAAGATATGCATCCCTAACAGAATGACCCAGCCCTGTTGTCTGTGAAACTGAGATGGTTGAGGGGGTAACCATAGTGGAATTTCCCACCCTCATAGATAGTCAGCACCCAAAACTATAAATTGATTGACATACTTCAGATGGGGGATTAAACTGCTTTTGAAATAAAAAAAAAAGTAGAGAATTACACTACTAAACAGTCATTTATTATTTGGTTTTGGTGAGCCACATGACAATCATTGTGAATTTTATGTTTTTTCAAACTGTTACATCACCCATTAGTGAATCGTGAAACCAAAGTTTAAATGAGATACAAGTGAATAAAATAGTATTTACTATTATATTTATATTATAGTGAATAAAAAAGCAATGTACACGGAAAAGGTAACTAATGTTTCGACAGACTTTTGTTTCAGTTACATATGTGAGTATGGTGAAAAAATGTGTTTTTATTGTGGACTCAAGTGAAAAAATAAAAAATTTAAAAAATTAATATAATTCCATTGCACAACATTTTGACCTGAAGCCACGAGCTGGAAATTACTGACACATAGGATATCTTGATGACTGCCATTAGCACTTTGCTTTTGCTATTAAAGTATCACAGGTGGAACACATTCTTTTTTTTTTTTTTATCCCAAAGACTTCAAAACTATAAACACATTCTTGTCTGCCCTAAAATTACATTAGTAAGGAGGAAATAAATTGCTAATCTGGAGCATGACGATCCATTTGCAGCTGCTAAAAAAGATTTGCATGCTCATACAAAATACTCTAAATTGCCCACTCCACTGGCATGTTGTAAACCACCCAACCATCTTCGCTTTCCTCATCAAAAATGGGGATGGCAGCTCTGAGAACTGTTGGGCAGTAAAAAACAATGCTCCCTACCATCAACATTAGGTAGATAAATACGTAACACCTGAATCAGCAGAATGAAAACTATGCTCCTTGAAAACAGCTTTAGTTCTCTTTGAATAAATGCTACCAAATTAGTTGTGATGTCAGTGCTTCATTCTGAGAGAACTGGGTACTCTATTGAGGGTTAGGAAACAACTAGATCTTTGGGTGACTGCAATGGGCCACATGCTTAGCAGTAAAAGAGATTGCTTACAAAAGAGAACAAAGTGACTTGAAACATTAAAAATACTGACACGTATTATTTTTTAAATGGGCAGTCAGACTTTTTGGTCAATAAATCAGTCATGTTTACATACTCTGTTTCTGGAATTTGCAATTAAGTAATTAATAATAAATAATATGCAAACTTCTTGTAAATAAAGCATATCACTTGAAAACAGTAGACCTCTAAATATAACCATGAAATAAAAGTGCAATTTTTGTTTTCAAACTTCAACTAAAAGAAAATGTTATTAAAAATATGTAATACATCTATTCTCCTGCATGAATTTAGGGTTTCTAGCAGCAAAGAACCTGACTGACCATATTATTTATTTAAAAGTATATCTGAAAACAGAAACAAAAATAAAGAAATACATGAGTTAATAAGACTAACAGCAATGAAGAAAGGGTAGCATTCGAACAAAAAATGCTGATTACTTTCTGGAAAATGAAAAGTAAATGGGTATAACGGTTGCAAAGTATAAGGTAAATATATAAAAATTAATCTTATATAAAAACAAATACATTTAAAATAAAACAATTTTTATAAGACATAATTAATTAATGGCAACAAAAAGTATAAGGTAAGTAGATTAAAATATAATTAGTTTAAAAAATATATAAAATATATTGACATCAAAGAAGCTATAAATACATAAGAAGCCATACATGTTCACAGAAACTTAAATACATAAAGATGTTGATTCTTCCCAAAATAATCTATAAATTCAAGAGAGCAAGATTTTTGGTGCAACTCATATGGACAAGGTAAGAGTGAAGACTAGCCAAAGCAGTATTTTAAAAGAATGGCTGGAGGTCGGGGTGGAGGGGCAGTTTGGAGTGATGACAAAGGACATGAAGTTTCCGTAAGACAGAAGAATAAAATTCAAGAGATACATTGTACAACATGGTGACTATATGACTATAGTTAATAACAATGTATCACATTTTGAAAATTGCTAAGAGAGTAGATTTTAAGTGTTCTCACTATAAAAAAATTGAGGTAATGCATATGTTAATTAGCTCAGTTGAGCCATTCCACAGTGTATACATATTCTAAATCAAATTGTACATAACTATATAAAATTTTTTGTCAATTAAAAGTAAATAAATAAGATAGGAGAACATATCTCATCAGATATCAAGATTTACGAAGCCAAGAAACCACCAGAATAAAGAGCCCAGAAATTCTCAGTTAAATATGGTAATTTCATAAGGGACAGGGCTGGCATGAAAAGAATTCTTCCATCCCATTAAAATATAAATTTATATTTTAATATTATATTCATAAAAATAATTGATCAAAAGTTATATTATTTCTAATTTTATTAATTATGTGCCAATAAGTATGATTATAATTCAATACAGAAGAAAATTATAATTTGTAAAGCCTTATAAACATGGGAAAATAAATACACTTTCATTCATTTAAAGTTTTTTTTTGCAGTAAAATGATAGGGTGATCATTTCCCAGGAGAGCAATTATATATTATCAGGATAAGATTCCAGGTGTATATGGAATAAAAATAAGAGCTAACAAAGAAAAAGAAAAGATCAAGTTTTGAGATAAAAGAATAATGCATGAATTTTCTTTTAAATAGATGGTTATGCATATAAAATACTGTAGTATTTAGATTCTACTGGTAACATTTAAAAGAATTACATAATAACAGGTTTCTATAAAAAAGAAATATATTCATATATCCAATGAGTTTAATCACTGGAAACCAAAAAAAAAAAAAAAATCAACCAATTAAAAGTTGATATAACTATATCATAAGACTAAGATGTCTTTAAGTCAAGAAACATTCTAATTGTAGATACAGATACAGAAACAGATCTGTGTAACTAGATAGAAATTTCATATATAATAATTTTTGCATTTCAAATCAATGGCATAAATGAAGACGGGCATTTAAATAAATGATGGTGGAACAAAAACAAGTAGCATTTACCCATGGTTCGCCATGCACAAATAAGAATAAATTTTTGAGTTATTAAATATACAAATTATATAGAACATAAATTAAGAAGAAGGTCTTTTAAGAGGATAATACTACCAAAAATCCACAATGAAAAGGACTAAAATATTCAGTAATATAAATGTCAAACTTTTATAGAACCCATGATTGAAGCTAATAGTCTTCATAATTATGTTTTACATAAAGCACAAAAAGAGGCAAAATCAATCTACACTGTTGGAAGTTGAAACAGTAGTTACTTTTTTGGGGGGGGTATAAAGGGGTATAAAGGTATAAAGCAATCAGAAAGGAATCTGGGGGTAGGAGGGCATCTGGTAATGTATTCATTTAATTTTATGTTTCTTGATCTGGATGCTATTATAAATGAAGATGGTTTAAACTGTAAAATTTCATAGAATATACACATTATATAGATGCTTTTCTGTGTGTATATTATAGTGAGATAAAACAGATGAGAATGGACACATGCACACATGGTATGTGTTTGTCTAGCTAGCTAGTTATATTATGTATCCTCCACATATCAAATTGTCAATACTGGTAAACTTAGGTATGGGAGTAGCACTAGTGGGAGAAGAGAATGAAGATCAGGATGAACTTTTACTTTTGATTTTAAATTGATTTATATCTATATATTTACATAAGGAATATGTATTATTTCTATTTTTAAGTGAAAAAAGCCTGCACATATGACATATAACATTCAAGACTTGTGACTTAGATGTGTCAAGGTAATTCTATAGGGCATACTCTACCTGTGAATCTAATATATTGGAAATTTCATGTGCACCAACATTTGCTTCATCCAACTGCAAGCAAAACAAGTTTCTGGCAACCTGGACAAAATCTAAAATGAAACACATTTAAGTAAGAACACAGCATTTAACCCCTTCTCAATAAATTTTACTCTATTCTATATGAAGTTGCTAATGCTTCAAATTTAACCCACATGAATGATCTTAAAATAGTTCTGACTGAAGTGATAGATAAATGTAAGTTCAAATAAGAACAGACAAATTGGTTTGTACTTACTTCAGTTAACTTTGCTAAAATTAATAATTCATAGTTAAGATAATAAAACAAATATATATCATGATATATTTAATTTTTCAACTCATGAGTAGAACTTTTTCTGAAACATATGACAATATTACGATTTAGGCTTTTCTAGCTGGAAGAACCTAAGGTTTGATAGCAATTATTATTATTATTATCATTATTTTTTTATAGCAGCAAATGTTTATGTAACAGCTGCTGTATGCTGGGCATACTGCTTAGCAATGTCATCCTCCCAAGTCTTCTGAGGTAGTTCCTCTTTATCCTGTCCATTTTACAGATGAAAAAAAAATTGAGGCTGAGACAGGTTAAATGTCTTAAACTCTCCAAGGACACTTGGAAAAAGGAAAAATAACAGTTTATAGGCTTCTTGTGACATGGAGAGTAACCTACTCATCTGTGTAACCTCAAATATTTTCCACTTTGGGTATTATATTTTTCCCAAGTATCCTTTTAAATGTTCTCTGATTGTTCTTGTTTTGCAACATACTACTTTTATTTCCTGGTTGCATTACCTTCACTCATCTTTTTAAAGATGTTATGAGAGTTTACCTGAGTCCTTTTTTTTTTTTTTTTTTGAGGTGAAATCTCACTCTGTCACTCAGATTGGAGTGCAGTGGTGAGATCTCGGCTCACTGCAACCTCAGCTGCCCAGGTTCAAGCGATTCTTCTGCCTCAACCTCGTTAGTAGCTGGGATTACAGGCATGTGCCACCATGCCCAGCTAATTTTTGTATTTTTAGTAGAGACAAGGTTTCACCATATTTGCCAGGCTGGTCTCAAACTGCTGACTTCAGGTGATCTGCCAGCCTCAGCCTCTCAAATTGCTGGGATTACAGGTATAAACCACTCCACCCAACCTCCGACCTAAGGTTCTCTTCTGTGCTTCTTCATTTCTTTTTTCTGAGCTCCTTTTTTCTGTTTGTCTGATAGTTTTGGGTTCTATATTTTATGTTGGAGGATTTCTCCGAATCTCTGGTGACTCTTGACTATGAGTTCATATTTAATAATCTGGCACTAAACATTTTGGTTGGAAATTTTATGTGTGTAACTTGCTTTGTTAACCGGCAGCTCTTACTACAGGGCAATCTGGTGGCCAGCTGACATTTTTGTTCAGCTTCTTCAGAGAGAATACTGCAGTCTTCTGCCTACAGTAATAAACATGGCGGCAAAGTCCCCTGAGCAATCTGCATGTGTATTATGAGTGATGACTCACTATATACTCCACAAACTCCCTTGCTGCTGGCAACTATAGGTCCACAATCTCTGGTTTAATTTTGTAAAGGAATATATTTCTTTTCCCCTGGAGGTGTAGAGTGGTGATGCCAGAATACTTGAGAAGGGGCAGAGAAAAGCATGCATAATTCTCTTTATTAAGAATTCGAACAATCCTGTTTTAATATCCTGCCTAAAAACTCAGTCTCCAGAAATACCTGACGTCTTCAATTCCTAAATCATTTTAGGGTCAAATCAACTTGTTCCCCATTGTAATTTTCCTCTCTCTTCACACACTTGGGCTTTACCTGCCTTTGCTCACTAATTCATTTATTTTCCTCATCCATTTTCTGTCCCTAGATATTGTGGTTTTAGGTATATGTGTTTTTCTGTTTCTTGTTTTCATTATTATTTTGGAATGATTTTCAAGAGGAGATGGGATGAAAAATATCTTTTTTTCATCACATCAAAACCAAAAGGTCAATTTTCCTTTTTCAGCAATACAGATACTGATACAATGTTATGTCTACTATACAAGAAAATTAAACATCTACTATACAAGAAAATTAAATATTTAATAGTGACAAGATAAAAAGTGTTACATTCAAACATTACTGGTGGTAGAACAAATATATGTGTAAAATATCTCTGAAAAACAATTTACCAATATATATCAAAAGTCCAAACCATTTGTGAGGATTTGGCTTAGGAAAGAAAAACAGCTACATTCACAATGATGATAAATACAGATGTGTAATATCAACTACTGAGAAACCATCAAAATTCACAATAGTAGAAAGGCTTAATATTATAGTACAACAACTAAGTGGTACATTATGGTATCTTTAATAAGAACAGAGTTGACCCTTGAACAACACAGGCTTCAACTGCACAGGTTCACTTATACAAGAAGTTTTTTTCAAACAAATGCATCAAAAATACAGTATTTGTGGACTGCAAAAGTCACATGTATGGAGGGTCAACTTTTCCTATATGTGGGTTCTACAGGACTGACTATAAGATTTAGTATGGCCAGATTTGGGTACACGCAGGGGTCATGGAAACGATTCCCTTCCCATACCAAGGGATGACTATAATTACATAGCATCATAAAAATATTTACTATATTAGCTGAAAAGGATTAGAATTGATCTCACAATAGTGAAATTAGAACTTTTGTATTTTGTACTGTTCCTTTTGTTATCACTAAAGCAATGTTTATGTAATAAAAAATAAAAAGAATATGACAGAATGATGTTTAGAGCTGAAAGGTCCTAATAAAGTTCTTCTCTCTGCTGACCCTGCCAGGTCAGTAATTCTAGTAATACAACACAAGAAACCTAACATTACCTCCAAAAGACACTGTCCCTTTTGAGTCTGCTTGTACTTGCTGTCTCAGGGCTTGGTGTTGCTCCTTTGTGGGCTGAATACCAAGATAATTTAGAGCCTGGAAGATAAAGGACTAATGAATAACAATTTTTCCAATCTCAAAAAAATAAAACTTTTCATTACAAACTGTACTGCCCAGTGAGAATAACCAATACCAGAAACAGTGACCAGGATTAAACACCCAAGGGAAGTCTGCTATTTATGGGTTAAGTTCCTATAAAAGGTTAGCTTTCTGATTTTACTACTACCTCATTTTTTCCCCAAGACTAGCACTTTGGCTAATACCAAATTTATGAATATTGCCCTAGAACCAAAAATCAAACTATTTCTTAGTTTATATCATTTGGCAGAAGCAAAATGGCAAAAGAATCCTACTATATCAGATTTATAAATGATACTCTAAAACATGAGTAATATTTGGTTAATATCTTGTCTTTGAGAGCAAAACTAAAGTTGACAGGAATTACGTTCAACATAAAATCTTCTAATTTTTGGCTTGTTAGTGGAAGGCTTACACAAATAGTAAACTAAAAGGCTTTCACTTTTCTCTTTCATCAGGCTCTCTCCTTAAAGGAAAAGCTCTTTCTCATTTTGGTATCCAAAAGTGATTAAAAACTCAGAGACCGTTAATTGTATTCCAATGTCCATTCTCTTCTTGCTCTTTAGTAACTGAACTAACCATAATTTTCAGCTGAAAACACTGTCATGTAACTAAAAGACATTTCCCAGCCTCGTTTACATCTCCAGGCAGCCGTGCAACTCACAGTGTACTAGTCAATGAGACACAAGGGGAAGTGCAACAGAGTACCCCTAGGAAGTCTCCTTTCAAAAGTAGGGGTAAGCATTTCTTGTCCATTCACATTAATAAGGGAGAAAGAAACAGAAAAAAGATGAAAGGAAGGAAGAAAGAGGGACTGATGAAATTTGAGCAGTATTTTTTGGTTCATGTGGTACCTCAATAAAGATGATGGAATAGAAAGATAATTGAAACATGGGTTCCTGATACTGTGGAACTTCCACAGCAGCCCTGGATTACCTTCTTTCAGGCTTCTTTTTGGTGTGAAAGAAATTTCTAAAGGAAACCACTGTTACTTTGAGTTTGCTAGTTATATATAGCAAAATCTAACTTGAACGCACAGGGACTGATTGGATGTCCTATTATTGGATTCTGGCAAGAGCATATATAGTGTCGATCACATCAAAACTAAAATGTAGGCAAATTATCCCTTACAAATTTCTTCCTCCTTTGGAATCTTGTTCAATCATTTAGTATTTCATTCATCATATATTTATTTGGTGCTTACTATTTGTCAGCCACTAAACTATGCATAGGTGATAGATAAATGAAATACAGTCTCCCACCCCAAAGAGTTTATGGTCTCTAGGATGAGAATAACTGTTAATAAATAAGTAAAACATGTAATTTAACAGAAGTAGGGCATATTATGACACAAAGCAACTGGTTAATTTTTAAGTAAGCAATTTGGAAACAATGAAAGAAGAATGGAGAAAGAGAGAATATCAGGAAAGATTCTTTCAAAAATGATTCTTAACCTTAGTCTAGCATCATCTGCTTATCTTGTCCAGCAGTCAAGTATTCGCATTGTATAACACTGCATAATGATTTTTTAGCTTCTGTATGTTTTATTCTCTTCTGTTACAAATATGTTTCAAATATACACACAAAAATGATACAAAGAACACTCATATGCTCACTATCATCAATTACTCATTGATATTTACTTAAAATTTATGTATATATTTTCAATAAATAAAACCAGATATTTAGTTAAAAGTTTTTATATTGTTCCTTAGCAGGAACTACTATCCTATGTATTCTTGCTAGTCCTAATTTAATGATATTTAATATGTAAACAAGTATTTATTCCCTAATAATATGTACTCTTATCTTGTGCATTATAAAGTTTTACATTGAGCATAATCTAAAAGAGTAACTCTACAAATTATTTTACTTCAATTTTATAATTTCATAATTTCTCAATAGTTTATAAAATGAGTTCACTTATTTTAACTGTAAATGGTAATCCACTGAATAAATTTATTATAATTAATTATCCATTCCCTGACTAAAAGGCTTTTATACTATGCCAATCTGTTTTTTTAAATTATAGAACATTATACATGTCTCTTTGTATAAATGTGTGAAAATTTCTCTAACATTATATCCCTAGAAAAGGAAGTGCTAAGTCATAGGGGATATATTGTCAATTTTATCAGATATTGTTGAATTGTTCTCCAAACTGGCTTCATCAGTTTATGCAAAGCCAGTAGTGTATAAGCATTCCTATTTTTTCACATTCTTAACAGCATCTGCTGTTTCTACTCTTTTGTCATTGTTGTATATGAAATAATATGCTGTTTGTCAATTTGAATTCCCATAGTTACATGTGCAATTAAACATCATTTACATGTTTATTAGCAATGTTTTTGACTCATAAATTATTTAAAATATGTTTTAAATTTTCATACATAGGGTTTTAAGAAGTATTTTTTTTTTTTTTACTGATTTTGAATTTGGTCCCCGTCTTCCAGCTGTGACAATGTCTCTGGACATTGCCAAATATCTCTAGAAGAAAAACTGCCACCCTGCCCTTGAGAACCACTGCTCCAAAGACAATTGCTGTATTAAATATTTTCTCCCATTCTGTGGGTTGTCTCTTTACTCTGATTGTTATAATTATTTGATATACAGAAGCTTTTTAGTTTAATTAGGTTCCATTTATTTAATTTTGTTTTTGTTTTCATTTGCTTTTGGGGCCTTAGTCCCAAATTATTTGCCTAGGTCAATGTGTAGAAGAGGGTTTTCTAGGTTATCTTCTAGAATTTTAATGGTTTCAAGTCTTAGGTTTAAGTCTTTGGTCAATCTTGAGTTGATTTTTATATAAAGGAAGAGACCAGAACATGCAACGTTTGGTTTTCCATTCCTGAGTTACTTCACTTAGAATAATGGTCTCCAATTCTGTCCAGGTTTCTGCAAATGCCATTATTTTGTTCCTTTTTATGGCTGAGTAGGTATATATATATATCACATTTTTTAATCTACTTGTTGATTGATAGGAATTTGGGCTCGCTCCATACTTTTGCAACTGCATATTGTGCTGTTATAAATGTGTGTACAGTTATCTTTTTCACATAATGACTTCTTTTCCTCTGAGTAGATAACCAGTAGTGGGATCACTACATCAAATGGTAGATAGACTTTTAGTTCTTCAAGAAATCTCCACACTGTTTTCCATAGAAGTTATACTAGTTTACACTCTCACCAACAGTATAAAAGTGTTTCCTTTTCACCACATCCTCATCAACATCTATTTTTTTTGATTATGGTCATTTTTTTGCAGGAGTGAGGTGGTATTACATTACGGTTTTGATTTGCAGTTCCCTGATAATTAGCAATGTTGAGCATTTTTTCATGTTTCTTGGCCATTTGTATATCTTCTTTTGAGAATTGTCTATTCATGTCCTTAGCCCACTTTTTGATGGGCTCTTTGTTTTGTTCTTGCTGATTTGTTTGAGTTCCTTGTAGATTCTGGGTATTAGTCCTTTGTCAGATGTATAGATCATGAAGATTTTTCTCCTACTCTGTGGGTTGTCTGTTTACACAGCTGATTATTTCTTTTGCTGTGCAGAAGCTTTTAGTTTAATTAAGTCCCATCTATTTATATTTGTTTTTGTTGCATTTGCTTTTGGGTTCTTGGTCATGAAGTTTTTGCTGAAGCCAACATCTAGAAGGGTTTTTCCAATGTTATCTTCTAGAATTTTTATGGTTTCAGGTCTTAGATTTAAGTCTTTAGCCTATCTTGAGTTAATTTTTGTACAGGGTGAGAAATGAGGATCCAGATTAATTCTTTTACATGTGGCTTGCCAATTATCCCAGCAGCATTTTTTTGAATAGGGTGTCCTTTCCCCACTTTGTTTTTGTTTGCTTTGTCAAACAAAACAACTTACAGTCGGCTTAATTTCTGGGTTGTCTATTCTGTACCATTGGTCTACATGCCTATTTTTATACTAGCACCATTCTGTTTTAGTGACTATGGTCTTACAGTATAGTTTGAAATCCAGTAATATAATGCCTCCAGATTTGTTCTTTTTGCTTAGTCTTGTGGGCTCCTTTTTGCTTGTATATGAATTTTAGGCATTTTTTTTTTCTAGTTCTGTAAAGAATGATAATGGTATTTTGATGGGAATTGCATTTCATTTGTAGATTGCTTTTGGCATATGCTGATTTTTACAATATTCATTCTAGCCATCCATGAGTATGGGATGTGTTCCATTTATTGGTATTGTCTATGATTTCCTTCAGCAATGTTTTGTAGTTTTACTTGTAGAGGTCTTTCACCTCCTTGGTTAAGTATATTCCTAAGTATGTATGTATGTGTGTATATATATATATTGCAGTTATTGAAAAGGGATTGAGTTCTTGATTTGATTCTCAGCTAAACTGGTAATGAGGAAGTTAAACTGTTGCTATTTGCTGATGACATGATCATATACCTAGAAAACCCTAAAGGCTCACCCAAAAACCTCCTAGAACTTGTCAGTGCATTCAGCAAAGTTTCCGGATACAGAATTAATATACACAAATCTACGATTTCTTTCAGCAGTGTTTTGTAGTTCTCCTTGTAGAGATCCTTCACCTTGGATAAGTATATTCCTATGTATTTAATTTTTTTGAAGCTGTTATCAGAGGGATTGAGTTCTTGATTTGATTATCTGCTTGGTCACTGTTGGTGCATAACAGTGCTACTGATTTGTGTGCACTGATTTTGTAATCTGAGATTTTACTGAATTAGTTTATCAAATCTAGGAGTCTTCTGGAGGAGTCTTTAAGGTTTTTTAGGATTATATCAATGGTAAACAGTGACAGTCTGACTTCCTCTTTTCTAGTTTCCCTTTATTTCTTCTGCTTGCCTGACTGTTCTGGTTAGGACTTCCTGTATTATGTTGAATAAAAGTGGTGAAAGTCAAAACCATGTCTCATTACAGTTCTCAGGGGAAATGCCTTCAACTTTTTCCTATTCAGGATGATTCTGGCTG